AAGCAGGGTACAAGCAATTTAAAAGCTGTTTGAGATAGTAAGTGATGGAACTTATTCATTTACAGTTAATAATACTTGTTGAAAATGTCGTTGACACTAGTGGTTTTTCGTACAACGCTTATAAGAAGTACGTGAAAGATCCCGACTGCTAAGATCGGAGATCTAAGAAGAAGAAGATCAAGAATGGCACAAAACTGAAACTCAGGCATGAATTCCCGTTAAGTACCAATACTACTACTACTCTACTACTAGTGCTCTTCTCCTAATACTACACCTACTACTCTACTCTACTCTAGTACTCCTACTACTACTACTCCTACTAGTACTACTACTCTACTATACTCTACTCAATACTACTAGTTCTACTACTCCTATGGATTGTTTATTATATATGCTCTAATGATTGTGTATTATACATCGTGTAATGCGCTAAACAACCCTATGGCTCAGTTCTATGTGGATTCTATGTTTGCGAGTACCTGAGGATGTGCAGTAGATTCAGCAGCAGCTGGTGGCAGCTCATGAAGCACAAGGATGGTGGCAAAGGGAGAAGGTCAACCAAGACTTCAGACAAACAGTAGCAAACATATGAAAGTTTGTCACGGAGAGCGTGCATGAAGAGAACACGTTCTTCAACCAGGAAAGCGAGTTAGTGTGGGATCCAAAGTTCGAGAGGATCAGAAACTGAAGCACCAAGTTATGAATCTCGGATTACATTCCGTCGAACCTCTTTTCCGGTAAAAAATGATATGTATGAATGACCTTAGTTGCTGATGTACGAATAATTTGTGTTTGTGAAACAATGGTGAAGACATCACTAATGTAATAACTTATTGTCGGTTCGTCGAACGAGAATGAATATAATATATGTTTGCCATCTATTTTCTGCTTTATCTATGTTTTCATTAGCGAAATTTTAAATTCAAATTTAAATTCTAATTTGAAAAAGTATTTTTCTAAATATGGAAATCATTAACCGAGGCGGCCAAGTAATAAAAACCGCCTCGGTTAAAATCTTAAGCGAGGCGGGCGCATTACGACAACCGCATCGGTTAATATGTATTCACCGAGGCGGTTAGCTTATGATGCCCACCACGGTTAATCTATTAACCAAGGTGGTTGCCCAACCGCTTTGGTTAAGGTCATGATTAACCGTGACCTTTGTGCTGAGGCGGTTGGCTTGCCCGCCTCGGTTAAAGCTAAAATGCCCGCCTCGGTTAAAACTCCTGTAGTAGTGTCTACAAATTATTCTGAATGATTTTTCTCTTTACTGATCCGGTGCTCTGTCAATGCTTTAATTAAAAAGATGATTGCGTCGTCCAACCCTGTACTGTACTCGGCTCAAGAGTTCCTGAGTGAGAATCTCCATAGTTAGAGTTCCACCGCCGGCCCCCTACCCTCTTCCCCGGTGAGCTCACCGGTGACAAGGTAGGTGGGCCGGTTCCCCCCCTTCCCCTTCCCCCTTTTCCCTCCTTGTAAAGTTCCCTAGTGGAATAAGGCCTCTCCATGGGTGTTCTGAGGACCTCTATCCTCCTCATCTCTGTCGTCTTGGAGGTGGGCGGACTGCTCGCGGCCATGGTGGCCGATGGAGATCTCTTCCAATCCGATGAGGTGAGCTCTTCAATAAAGCCCTTATCTTCTCTAGGGCTTCTCCCTTCCCCGCTCCCTGGTTGCGTGGGAGGCATGGTGCTGCTTTGATCCAGTTCGAGCAAGGGTAGAGGCATGGATGGCGACAACTCCCACAGCAGTGCCGACAAGGTCACCTACAACACCAAGACATGGAAGCAGTTCGAAGGGACTGGAGTGCCTCGGGTCCTTGCATCCCTGGGAGAGCGGATCCTGCAGGCCAGAGGCGTGGAACGTGTGCATCTGCGTGCCTTCTTGGCCTTCCTCATCTCCACCGCCTGCGCCCACGGTGGCTGGGGTCGACTGCATCTCCCGAGCGGAGGAGGTTGCATCGGCCTCAGCGTCCGCGGTGGGGACCATCGCAGCGGTGCCGTTCGCCGCTGCGGGTTCCTGCATCCGTCCCGTACGCGGCTTCCTCGGCGCTTCCGATCTGTTCGGTGCGGGTGGGGCCTGCCGGCTGCGCTGTGGGGTCCACCTTCTCTGTGCTGGGCCCCGCTAGTGCAATGTGTATCCCATGCAGGAGGCTCCCCTTCTTGGGCGGTTCTGTGTCCGCCTGGGGAGGACGTTGCCCCTTTCGGTGGCCATCTTTTGCTTTGTGGGCCCGCTAGGCACAGCTAGTCTTTATTCTTTGTCAATCTGTTTTTTTGGTTTATCTGCAGACATGGAAGTGGTAACACAGCCATTGGTGTTTGGGTTGACCGTCAATGTTAGTTGATGCAAGTCCTCAGATTTGGCATTGGTGGGCGTGGTTCCATGCTCTTGAGCCCGGTGAAGCCTCCATCATATCTATGGCTTAAGACTACTAATCCTCGAAGACACGGTCCGATGAGATAGTCGACGGGAGCGCCGACTGTGCTATCGAAGTGCGAGAACGAGGACCCTCGATGTTTCTATCGTGGCCACTTCTCGTGAGCCCTGTGGCCCCGACGGGCCGCACGCCCCCGACGTAGGAGCATCACCTATGTCTACAGAAGCAGATTTGTAGTTGCTTTTACCTGATTGTGGTATGTAATCTAGGAATTCGTTTCCCATACTGGTGTACTATACTTTAAAGTTATATATTAAAAGTTATTGTTGTAAAAATGCTTTAATTATGCAAGATGATGAAGTTCGGTCGACTTAGTTCTGAAAAATAAAGTCCGGTCAATGGGCGGCTGGACCTTGACATCAGCCAAATTTGCGATGGGTTGGAAAGGCAAGCACACAAACCTGATAAGGGCTCGTTTGGATGCGTATGTATTCATCTCAATTCACATGTGTTGAAGTGGATTAGAGTGGAACTGAACTAAGTTCCATTCCATTCTACTCCAACACATGTGGATTAAAGTGGATACATATATCAAATAAGACCTAATATGAAATATGAAATCGATGGATCTTTTCGTCGCAGACCGTTAGGTGATTGGATCAGAAACGTTGGACAGCCTGTTCGGTTGGTGCTGATACGGTCGTATACGATCGTGGATTATTACTGCTGGCTGGTTTGGTGTGAGAGAAAAAGACTGTTCTGGCTGGAAATTTATGATTGTTTATGATCAAGCGAACGGGCTGTGGTGATGTGTGGACCAGGGACTTGACAGTGCATTCTGAGCAGAATTTTTTTATTACTACGGAGTATAAAATTACAACCTCCGCATCTTGAGATGCTTTAGTGAGCAAAACAAAGGGAACTGTTAAAACGAGCAAACAACGGTGATACAAGCAGCTACAGTACATATATATACTAGAAGATACCCTATGAGTTTCTGTGGCAATTGCAAAGAATTTGGAGTGACGTTAAGTGAAGATGATAAGGATAGTTTGCATTAAGAGATTGAAAGTCAGTGAGATGACATGACTATTAGTGGGAGATGATGTTGATAGGTAGTGGGGAATATCGTAGATAGCTTGTATGTTGAGATAAACTTATAGTGATGATTTATTTTATAAGAGATATATGTTTGTTTCCGAAAGCTGTGGAGATGGAGAAGAGTCATGTGATCCTGTAGAAATGTATGTGGATGACTTCAGGGTTTAAGTTCTTCACATGTAGCTAAGATCGAGGGAGTACACGCACGATCGGTGTTGCTGCTCATATGAAGTTCAACCACAAAAGTATCATGTAGGTAGCCATGCCCGTGACAATCTTTCTACTCCAAGATATAAGGTTTTTTTTCCTTTTCTAAATTGAGCAAAACCATCTAAAATTTGACAGCCAGGTGGGACTAGAGCATCTTTTTTAAGGTCAACTTCGGGGGGATAAGGAATCAGCACCTGATTTTTATTCCACAGATGCCGGTAACCTGGTGGGTGGAGGGGCAAGGCCCTTAAGGTTTTACAAGTGATCAGCAGTTGGGGGAGAAGATTACATAGAAAACAAATTTCTCCGGTTACTGGCATCTGTGGAACTAGAGCAACCCAAGGTGGAGACAAAGTAGCGTAAGGCCGACATTGAGCAGCAAAGGTCAATGTGAGAGCAAGAACAAAATCAAGTTTTGTGACACCAACACTTTGGAGCCGTATGTAAGAGCATATATGGTGGCAATGAGAACTCAACTTGCAGCTCAACAAATGAAAGCATTGAACAATAGCTTGTGTGGGTCAAGTGGTGCGTTAGATGGAGGTTGTGAGGCTAATGATGCCAATGAGGAGCTAATTGATTCTTCCTATGTTTCATGTTTGTGAACTTTTATGTTGTGATGGGCTGTCGTGCGAGAACCATGCCATTTTTACTTGAATTTAAATTTAAATTGTCATGTTTGAATTTGAGTATTTAAACATTAGTTATTTGTATGAACTGGTAACATTTTTGTTTAAATTTATGTCGAATCAAAGAGATATAATACAGACTAATAAGAGAGAAAAAATGAAGTAGGGACCCTAATTTATGGCTATTTCTGGAGCTGAACTCAAAAAACAGAACACTCAAAAGTAAAAGAGGTGACAAATAAAAAAAAACTGTCCTAATTTTGGGACTACTGCTGGAGTTTCTTTGAATCAACTCTTAACGTAGAAAAATAATGATCTTTTTTTATACTAAAAAAATAATGATCTTAGCACTTACACATGTAGCACTTGGCCACGCTCGTGCAAAAAATGGGAGTGTAGATTTTTTTTTTAGCAGAGGGAGTGTAGAATATGTGGGCTACTGGGTCCATGGCGCTTAATACAAAGCCCATAACGTATGCAGTTGCAGCCCATACGCACAACTACCAAAGTACCAAGCAAGCCCCAACTAGCTTCGCGGTGAAGGCACTCGGGTCTCGGGGTCACAACTCCCAACCCAATCCAGCCCAGCAACCAACGACTCCCACCGGCCGTTTTCACATCTTCCAGTTCCCCTTGCCACCATTCCCCACCACCGCATAGATCGCCGCCGGTGACGGCGACCACTGATGGCTCCGGCCGTGGCCGGGGCGGCGTCGGTGGCGATGAGCCAGGCACTACAGGACCGCCAGATCCTCGACGCCGTGGGTACCGGCGCCGCGGCGCTCTCGCTGGCGGGCTCCTCCTTCATCGTGCTCTGCTACCTCCTCTTCCGCGAGCTCCGCAAGTTCTCCTTCAAGCTCGTCTACTACCTAGCCGTCTCGGTGAGTGGCCTGCTCGAATCTCGGTGCTCTTCTGGATTTTTGGGTTTGAGCCGCTAGTTGTGCGATGTTCCGCGGTTGTTATTTCAAATTAGAAGCTCGTGGTGCGATCTGTGCGCTGTGTTTTATTAAGAGAACTTATTAATTTGCGTACCAATTGTGCGCATTTGGTGGTTCATATTCTTAGTTTTAGAAGAGGGGTGTGCTACTTTTTTGCATATTAGTTGAATTACTTCTCGAGAATCTGGTATTCTGGTGCCATCAGTAAGTAGGGATCTGGATCTTCAGAAACGTGCATACAATCGTTAATTTTCACCTATGAGGTAAATTTCAATACTTGTTGATAGTCTTAGTCTAGTGTTCGTATAGCACATAGATGTACATGTTTTGCACTTGGATTTTGTTTGAAATACATTCAAATTCCAGTTGTTAAAGTATGATATTTAAGGTCATATGAGTCTACGATTTGTTGCAGCGGCACATGTGCTCCGCCTACAATTGGATAGAGACATCACTAGATGGGAGCATATTTTTCATATTTATAGTTCATTCTTAAATATGGAAGCAGCTGCTGTCATATTTTTTGTTTTGTTGAACATTGGTACCAATGGGCATGATGAGCACCTACTTATCTAGTTCATCACTTGACAACTAGTGGTTTGATTTTGAAGAAAATGATATTACATGTCTAGCTGCTTAGCTGACACATGGAAACACTAGCTGAAGCTTGGTTTGTTCATTATTACTGTTGCTCTAGCTGTTGCATGTGTTTCTGATAACCTTGTCCTGAATTGCAGGATATGTTTTGCAGCTTATTCACTATAATGGGGTATGTTGTATTTCTTCTGCTGCAAGTTTCATGCTTAGTGTTAATTTACTTTTGCTATTAACAGCCTGCCAGAATGAACGTATGCAGCATCATTATGCTTATTATTCAAATCATGGACAAGTAATTTGAACCGTGTTAACCTTCTGCTTACTAAAAAATATTAATGGCAGGATTAAAACAGAATAATTGTTTTTGTTTAAGAAAATCACACCTGACTATTCTTTCTCCCATTTCTCTTTGCTTCTGAATGCATAGTTTGGTTATGTGCTCGTGGTAAAACATTTCTTGACCATGTTTTCTTATGTCGCAGGGGGCCATCGAATGCATTTTACTGCTTTGCTCATGACTACAGTGCTCATTTCTTCTGTGTGGCTTCTTTTCTATGGACAACCACCATAGCATTCACTCTTCATCGCACAGTTGTAAAACACAAAACTGATGTTGAAGAATTTGGATCTATTTTCCACTTATATGTGTGGGGTATGCAAACTGTCGATTACGTACTTGCCTTTGTTTGAACTTATATGTTCCAAATTAAGTAACATTTTGGACAACTTAGATAACAGTTTCTGGAGAGACCTTGTGTTGAAAAAAATAACAATTTTGTATTCATATGAATCAATGTTCTTGAAAAAAGCAAAAATTGTCCACATCATTTGTGTTTGATGTATTGTGTTGCATCTGTTTGCTAACACATAGGTTATCATATTCCTTAGAAATTATTTAGATGTGATGCATGTACCTATTTTCATCAGTTACTTCTGTTACTTTTTGGGGCTTCTATGCCTTGTAAGAAGCTAAGCTTGCAAGTTCCAATTCATTTGCCTGTCCATAATCTGCACCCATGTCTATAACTGTTGAATTTATTTAATTGTTAATATGTTTAGTATCTCAGGCTACAGATTCTGTTTCCAATTTGAGTGTCCCATCCCTGGATATTTTGTTGCAGAGCATGCTCAAATGGTCCATTGTTTTCATTATTGTTGCCTTTATCTGCATATTTCATGTACATGTTGCTTTTAGTTTTATAGTTTGGTTGCATCATCTTATCTTGGGACCAATATGTAACTGTAGTGTTTAGAAGCTTTTATCTGATGTACTGTAGGTAGGCATACTCCATTTTTAGCAATAGATCACTATTTTAATGACTTACTTTGGAAGCCGTGTGTCAGTATGTCACTGTGTTAGCTTTCAAAATCAGTTTAAAAGGTTTCAAGTTTTTATTTATTTATTTCTCCAGGAACTTCACTAGCTACCACTGTACTTCGATCGATAGGAAGTGACTACGGAAGACCAGGTACCTGGTGCTGGATCCATCAGGGAAGCATGGCAAAGGCATGTGATCTTTTGTTCTCTTTGAGTTTTTTTCCTTGATTATTACACAACCATTAGTAGTATGTGTCACTTCTCTGAGAGTTATGCTAAATGAAGGTCGGCATATTTGGTTAAAGACAATTTTTGTATAAGCTCATCTATGTTTGAATTCTAAGGGAGTCTCTACAATTTATATCAAATTTCCAACATATTTTGCTTGGACTATGAAAAGTTACTGTCCTCAGCTAGACAATGAATTTAAACTGGAATTCCAATTTTGTCACCATAATAGCAATTCTTTCACTAAAATGACTGTACTTGCAGGTCCTACACTTAATAACTTTTTATCTTCCACTTTGGGGTGCCATTTTGTACAATGGGTTTACATACTATGAAGTAAACCGCATGCTGAACAATGCAACACGGGTTAGCAGACTTTTTCTCAACAATTCTCCGTTGTACATTGAAGGTTACTGTGACCTTCATTGTAAACTCTTTGGCACATTATGCTATTTTTGCTTGTATGTTCTAAATTTTAATAAGCTCACTATTTTTTTAGATGGCTGCTGGCATAAGTGATCGATCAAACCAGTCTGATATTAGGGCAGACAGGAAGGTACGAAATCCTCAACAAATATTTGGCGTTGTTTCTGCTTCAGTGCTTCTGCTGGAGTATTTTTCCCTTTCCTATTGATTGTTACCGACGTCCTTTTTTACTTCCAAAGATTGCTTACTTGCTCTCGTAAATTTTATACATCTGGGATTGTAGATAAACTGAGAACAAACAATATGCTAGTTCTTTTGATGAAAATGTTATCGAGTGTACTCAACTTTCTCTATCATGTCCCTTTCTGTCCTAATTACCTCTATACAGCTGTTCGTTATATTTTGCAAAACCAAGTGGATAAAAGTTTATTTGAGCCATACATGATTGATTGTTTTTGCAGGCATTTAACCGATGGGGTTATTACCTCTAATTCTAATCGGTTCATGGACATTTGCAACTATCAATCGTCTTTATGACTTTGCCAATCCAGGGCACAAGATATTTTGGCTCTCCTTTCTTGATGTTGGGTTCGCTGGACTTATGGTGAGTCTCTTAATGCTTGTGTTTTGATACTAAATGCTACTGAAATAGCGTACCATGAACTTTTCTATAAAAACTAAGGCTACCTACATATTGTAGGCATGATTTATCATAAAGGGGCTTGAGTAAGAGGCTTCCACATTGCTTCATTTTTTTTCTCCTGTCCCCATAAGCAATTAGCTCTGAATGCGTGAATGGGAGGGCTGGAGGTCTGACCACTCTTGTGCTTTCTTATGGAAATGGGTGCATAAAATAGATTTGTGACTTGAATCCTTCATTCCTTCATTATCATAAGCAATACTCCCTCCGCCATCTAGCTTTATTCCAAATGCACCAATTATAAGTCCATGATAACTCTAGTGCACCTTTTTGCTTTATTCTTCCATGCCTACCCCTACTTAAATGCACACATCCATTTATTTTCCTATATATGCTATGAAGTTATGCATATAAGTGTTTTGTTTGATTGACACACTACTATATTCCATGGTGCTTCTCTTCTTCTTTTTTTGTGGATATTTTGATGTTTCCTGTTTTATCTAGGGCATATTCAATTCCATTGCTTATGGGCTAAACTCTTCTGTCTTGAGCTATTTCAGAAAGAATTGACATGTAAGTTTTAATCTGCAACTTAATCAAAACCATACATTTCTTCATCGCTATGCATTATTTACTGTAAGCATTCTAGTTATGCCACTACTCAGAAAATAATGTGTAGCTATAAAGAATTTTATTTCCTAAATTTTCCAGGTTCCTACCTGAGAGAATCAAAAGGAGCCTCCCTACTTTGTCAAGATTGAGGAGTCAACAGGAAAATGAACTGACTTCTCTTATCGTCGAGGGTAACTGATATGTAATGCAATCTATGAATTTTCCATGCATACAAAGTTTTCTTTGTCTTTTCGTTCTTCAATCTCCAACAAGGGAATACAACATCACTGTAGGAGCAGTTGGTTAGCATTGACCATCCGGTACTCGTCAAGTTGGTTCCGCTGTGTCCAACTGTCCATTGTTGATCGTCTTAACACGTGACCTGGGTTTGGGGTTCATCGTTCGGGCCGGAGTACATAGGAGGCTAGAATAGGAACAGTCGGACACAGCTGAGCTTGACTCAGCTTTCTTGCTCTTCTTCTTCATCTTCTTATCCTCTCCACATGTGAGAGCAATGCATTGCTTGCTTGCTTGCTGAAGAGGCTTATTGACTCATCTTTCTTGACATCTCAAATGCTGCAATCTTCCCAATGACAAGGGTACACAGGCATGGAAGTATGCAATAATGAAGAGGCTTGTTTAGTTAAAAAAACCTATTGTATTGAACTCATTGACGATAAAATTAATACAGGAGTACGCAATAATGAAAAAAAGAATAATTAGTTTAGCTCATACACATGCATGCGTGATTGCCTTAAGATGACTACCTGGTGGAGTCGTTGTTTATTGGCTACCTGGTGGTTGATTAGAAAGAGGAAAGCACGCGAGCCGTCAGCCGTGGTCACGTTGTTGGCGATGGCGAGGAAACGTTGCCTGCCTGCAGAATTGCAGATGCGTGGAGTATGTTGTCGGTTAGTGCGCCGAATCCAATTCCATCCAAGTAGACAAAAAGGCGTGATTACTTGTACTGTTATCCATGCCTGGGAGTATCACGACACATCATTTCGAAGTTCGACGAGTGGTATTGCGTACCGGATCCGAGGTCTCGTTGTTGCCGAGGAGGAAACGTGCCGCTTGCCGTCCCGAATCGAAAACAGGCAAAAAGGCGAAGATTAACGATCGTATTACGGATCCAGAGGTGCGACATGCCATCTCTGCCCTAGGGGTTCGAGCTCGGCCTCGATCCATAAAAAACCCGATACCGATGTCTGAAACCTGCTGCTGCTGCTCACGTGCTTTTTTTTGACAACTCGTATTATAGAAAAGATCCTCAAAAGAGGATCGAAATACATCAGTGATCTTGAAGGACATCGAGGCATAAGCCCACCCATCCGTCACGAACACGACGCGTGCGTGGTGCCTGCTTCAAATGCAGTACTCCTCGGGCGCGGATGGGGTCCGGTGCGCATGTAGGCGGGCTGTCAGCGCCCCTCATCCAGGTGATCCCCAGGCGCTACTGAAGCCCAGAAGAGGAAGACGGCCCAAGCGCAAGAACGTCAGGACGGCTGGGCCTGAGTGAGCCTGCTCAGAGAAGCAGGGCAAGGGAAAGGATAAGTAGCAAAGAGTAACTTGTGTTCTGTAAGCAAAACCATAACAGCTATTTTCTTCTACTACTTTCCCTTCCGCGGCACACTGCCGGCGGCGAACCTATCCCTTTCTCCCTGAACTCCGGTAGGGTTGTAGCGAAGAGCGGAGCACGTGCGTGTCTAAAAGGTACTGATAAATGAAGAAAACAACATTCCTATGGCATAAGATTCAACGCAAATATACAAATCTCGTAAACACAACAATTGGATCATATTTTTTTCAAGCAAAATAGTCATTTTCAATAGAATGGTCCTGTGCTTCTAAAATGCATCTAGAAACAATGTAACGGAAAAGTCATGCATTCTGTTTTCCAAGTTCCTCTAGTCTAAATCCCCCTTTCTCAACTGAACAGGAAAAATGAGGTGTCACAGATCAACCATAAACACCCACAGAAGGCCAGAACCAAGTACTAGGTAGTAAGCACCTAGAAGCTGTCGATCACAACGTTGAACCGCGCCTGTCCAAGCAAGCATCGCCACAGAAACCAGGTACTAGTGTACCCTGGCAGCAGAAGCGGAAGAGAAGAGAAGGCAGCCACAGTGCCAGACAGCTACAGTGCAGAGGCAGTCCATGCACCCTGTCCACACGCCAAGGCAGAGCGCGCTGGTGCCGCGTGCCCATCTTTTAATTTTGGTCCCTTCCCTTGTTGTCGCGTGGTGCCCGTGCCTGCCGTGCCCACTCATCCTCCCACTCGGCAACGACAGCGACCAGCAACCGCGGCGCACGCCCGGCTTTTCCTATTAATAGCCAAGAAGAACGCCTTCCATCTGCCCCAATCCAAATCCGGCTCCTGCAGTGGTAAGTGACAATGGCTTCCCGTTCCCCAGTCGCCGACCCATCCAGGTTCGCCATCGGTTTAGGCATCGGCTGCGCCCACGTCCTGGTGCCGGTTCTCGGCTTCCTGGAGAGGGTTACCTCTACGCACGAGCGCGACCCCGTCCTCATGCTCGTCATCTTGCTCGCGCTCCTGCTCCCGTTCGCCTACCTCCGACTGGCCGCCGACGGCTACCGCCGCAGCGTCGGGCGCAGCAATAACGTCACCCCGGAGCAGGCCGCTGGTGCCCCGTCACCAGCAGCGGAGCTGGGATGGCTCGGGAATCTGGCCAGCATCAAGCTCGCCCTCGCCCTCGCCTTTCTTGTCTTCGGTTTCGTGCTTTTATATGACCGCCAATGTCATGCTCCGCCGCTCGTAAGTCGTAACTGATGAGGGCCGGGGCAAAATGAACTAAAAAACTATCACCAGCAGGCAGCAGCTCGTAGTAGTAGCCAGGGAGTAGTAGTAAACTTGCTCATTGTAGAGTTGTATGAGTTTATCTTAGTTAGTTAATCACTAGGAGTAGTAGCTCTGAAATCTGATGTGCTCCCTCTGGGCTCTGGCGGACGGAAACTAGCGTTTTGGGAAGAATGCCGGTGAGGTCCGACGAGTCATGGCATCTGGCGTTTGTCCCATGCCCGATGAAGCCATTTTCTGCTTGAGCTGGAGAAAGAAAGGAGCAACTCTTCCTGCAACTGCAAGATAATTAAGACTGAAGGCAACCGGTTATGAAGCTATACACGTGGTGAACAAGGTGTGGAGGAGAATGACTAATGTACTTTTTTTCCCCATTTGAACCTTCACGGTTGTTCACACATCACATGCAAGCAGTCGAGCCTCCCAGCACTGTAGAGATGGATTGCAATTTGCAAGTGTAAATTTCTAGTACTGGTGTGCTTCAAACTACTGAATGATTATTGGTTTGCATCCACAGGGACTGATTTCCTTGTTGTCCGGATAATTATTATTTTTCTTTGGAAAATAGGTTTGCCGAGTATATTTTAAAAAACACTCGGCAAACCATTTGTTTTGCCGAGTGTTAAATTTGACACTCGGCAAACCATTTGCTGAGTGCGCGATAAAAAACATTCAGCAAATAGCTGTTTGCCGACACACAGACGGCGTGTGTTGTATGCCGAGTGTTTTTGGGCCTTTGCCGAGTGCCCCTAGCACTCGACAAAACTACTGTATCCCGTAGTGATTGGCTATGTTTCACCGGCCCTTTAAGATTACTTTAGAGTAAAAGGTCGATCATTATGCAGACTTAACTATTAAAATTCTTTTTATGTTAGCACTGCTACCCCAGTCAAAGATCTCACTTTAAGCTCTATCACTTATCTTAAGTGACATGCTACAAGTTTCAAATGATTGCTTATGCTATTGTAATATTTAAAAACATACTCTACAACCTAAAATCCTTATTTTTAAAATATGAAAAAGGAGTATTAATAAAAGATACAACAAGCACAAGAGCTTGAACTTGAGGATAAAAAAATTTGTAGCAGCCAATAAAAAAAAATTGAGAAAATAAAATTTAGATTCATGACTTCATAAGATATGTGATGCAGCAGGTGTGGCTATAGTTTTTTTAGTTCAACTACGGGGGGTGTAAGGGTGCAATGCACCTAATACAAAGATGACCCTTGAAGGTGACACAAGTACATGACATTGGGGAAGAAAGAAAGAATACAACACCGCCAAAACAAAACAAACAACAATAATATGGCACAACTACAAGCTCAGCCTACATCCAGATCTAGTGCAAACACCAAGTTCCCGACCTGTGCCACCACCAAAGACAAAAGTCTAAAGAACTCTATCCACAAGCAGCTGTAAGCGAGTCGGGTCCAACAGGTGACGGCTAGGAAGCCATAAGGCACTGAGTCAGAACAAACCGGCGACAACCATGAGTTGCATGAGCATCTTATTTTCCAGCCAACGTCCACCAACGTCATTTGGGGAAGGAAGCCCCGAAGGGGGAGGAACATCAGGAGGAAACGAGGAGATCCAGAGAGGAGATCAAGGTCCCCGTAGCCCAGCATATGATAAGACAAAGCACTCAAGTGACCTAGAGGACGACAGAGCAAGCCATTAACGGCAAGCACATGCCGGCAAGTAGTGTGCGCAAAAGCCAAGGATAGGAGGGTAGTCAGACCAATAACAAGAAGGGGAGGGAGAGCAATAAGAGAGAACACAAGGACACGTCGAGGGCGAACGGTAGTAGGCGTGGAGCCACCAGGGAGAGCACAAGGGCATGCTGAGCGCAGACGAGAAGCAGGTGTGCTTGTATCGATGCCTTAAAAAGGGGAATGATGTCCACGGACGCCACCATCGACTAGCGGAGCACCAGGCTCAAAAGGGCTTTCGTCCTGAGACCTGCCTAGCGGATGCAGTGAACGTGGAATTGGCTTCGCGATAGAAGGAACTGAAAATCTACAGCGACGCCTCCAGGGAGGAAAGAACGCCAATTGCGCCATCGTCGCCGGCCTTGAGCAACAGCCAGACAGGGTTTCACCCAGATTTCATATGCCAGACAGGGTTTCACCCAGATTTCATATGCCAGACGATGTTGTCGACGATGAGCAGTATCCAGAGCGGATTCCCCCTGGGACGTGGAGACAAATATCACCGGCGGCATCTTAGCATCCACGTTGCCCTCCAGCCACCGAACCACTAGGTGTAGCCCCTTAGGATCTAGGTCTTGTCCCCGGCGACCCAGCAGAGGTAGGGAGTTGAAGACGAGGACGTCGGCGCCCTTCCAGAAGCTAGAGTGCCTATCCATGGACGTGCCGCGGATGAGGCTGTCGGCGGCGGAGCGCACCACGGCGTCGTCGGAGTTGGACTTGGGCAAGCGCCGGCCGCGCGGCCACTGCCTCTGCAGGAGCTCGTTGCCGCCGGAGGCCCGGACGCATCGTTGCCGAGCGCTCGCCCATAGTCGCCTGGCTCGGCCAGCGCGCTCACCCGCACTAGTCCCGCCAGCACACGCTCCACCGGTGGCCGCCGGACTAGGCCGCCATGGCACGCGCAGGACTGGGTCGTGCTGGCGTACGCAGTTGGCTAGGGCACGAGCAGGACTGGGTCCAGATGCGCCGCCTCCGCGTCTGCGCGGCTCGCGCCTGCCAGATGCCGCGCCCACTGCACGGCTCGGCCGCCGGCCCCGGCGGCGCCAGATCAAGGACGGCAGCCGCCAGATCCGCGGTCGGGGCGACGTCTCCACGAGCGACGATGCTGGTCGCGTAGCCCGTCACGGGCCTGCTAGATGCTGGCGTACTCGCCGACCGCGGGCGCTGCCGGCTCCGACGAGCGCAGGGCACTGAAGCGCCCCAGCACTGCTTGATAGCATGAAAGGATCAGTCTAACATTCCATAGAATCTCAGGGGAGTATTGCATCAGCATATTGCAAATGAGATAAGCCTCCATCTACTAAGTGAGGTACCACACACTGAATAATACCTGCCTCACAAGCTCTAGAGAGCATAGTTGAAAGAGCATCAGCCACCAGATTAAACAGTAATAGGGACAATGGATCTCCGTGTCTGAGACCCTTGTTGCTTCTGAAATACTCACCTCTTTCACCATTTATGTCTATACAAACTTTGCCACCTCCAACAGCCTTATTGACTTAAAAGATGTTTACGGCCTTGTTTAGTTACCCAGAATTCAAATTTTGGCACTATGCAAAAAGAAGATTTCCTGTCACATCAAACTTACGGTACATGCATGGAGTACTAAATGTTGACGAAATCAAAAACTAATTGTACAGTTTGGTTGTACTTTGCGAGACGAACGTTTTGAGCCTAATTAGTCAACGATTGAACAATTATTACCAAATACAGACGAAATACTACAGTGTCGGAACAGTGCCGGAGAATTCTGGCGGCGCCGATTCTGCGCTGAACTAAACGCGGCCTACATACATGAACTGTTCTTTGGTTTTAAATCCTCTTCGGCGCATATCTTCACTGCTCACAAGGCTGGTGCGATGTCAAGGATTTTTCATTTATCACACCAGCTTCTTCTTCTCGGCCAGACGGCCACCACGCGCCGGTCCGCCACGACGCCACCTTCATCTTGTACTGTTGTACAGGCAGCAGGGCCGCTCCGCCTCCAGACTTGTCCTATGTCCATCCCATATAATCCAGAGAACATCTGCACTGAATCGTTTTCCAGACGACCAGACTTGTCGTATGTCCATCCCATATACTAATCCAGAGAACATCTGCCACGGTCGGGCCGGTGTATCGCTTCGGTTCCTTTATTAACGCGAAGCTGCTCGCTGCACCGGCAAGAGCACTGGCACTTGCCCAGTAGCCCCAATCATTGTTGCGCTCTCCTCCAAAAACCAGAGGCACCACGCTGTCCCCTCCCTTCCGGCAGCGGCAAAACCATGGCGGCCGAGCTCCCGGAGGCGGGCAGGGTGGCCCTTTGCGTCGCCATCGGCTGCGCCGAGATCCTGGAGAGCGTTGCCACTACGGACCAGCGCGACGACCCCGTCCTCCTCGTGCTCGTCGTCTTGCTCGTGCTCCTGGCCCTCATCACCTGCCTCCTCCTAGCCCTCATGGTCGATCTGGAGCAGGCCGCCGCTGCCCTGTCGCCAGCAGCGGTGCTGGGATGGCTCGGGAATCTGGCCATCAACATCAAGCTCGCCGTCGCTTTGCGCATCTCCGGTTTCGAGCTTTATATGATCGGCAATGTCGTCGTGCTCGCCGCTCGTAACTGATGAGGGGCAAAATGAACTAAACCACTAGCAACTTGTAATAGCAGTAGCCAGGCAGTACTAGTAATAATAAGGAGTGAACTTGCTTACTTGAAGTAGTTGTAGGAGTTTATCTTAGTTAGTTAATCACTAGGAGTAGTACATCTGAAGTCTGATGTGCTCCCTCCGAGCCGGCTGGCGGAAACTGGCATTTTGGAAATCCCGGTGAGATCCGACGAGTCATGCATCGGGCGATGTCCCACTCTCCGATGGAGCCATTTTCTGCTTGAGCTGGAGAAATAAAGGGGGAGGAACTCTTCCTGCAAGTGCAAAATAATCAAGGTGTGGTGGACAAGGACTAATGTACTGTTTCCCCATTTGAATCTCCACGGTTCGTTTGGCTGAATTTGGCTGAAAAATATCGTTCCGGCTGAATTATTGTGAGAGAAAAACACTTTTTCGACTAAAAAAAGAAGCCGAACAAGCCAAATTTCTGAGTCAGCCGAACTGGGCAAGCTTGGTTTTCATTTGTACCTAGTGCTAGGAATGGACTAGGCAGGTGTCACTTTGTTTGGGACCCCAGGTATCATACTCCGTAGTCAAGAAGGAAGATGTATACGGATTATGGAAACCGCCTCCTTGTTGTCCTCAGTCCTCACCTAGTAGTCACCTGCTCTAGCTCTATAACAAAGAA